TTTTTTTCTAATAAAAGGGAGGGTATGCTTTAACCTAGGTTTGAATTTTTAAGGTTCATGTACATGCTAGGTTTAAAGGCCTGACAATCTAAAGGCTCTCAAATTGTTCCCTACATTATCATCCATTATAGACTAGTAAGGCACCCAATCTTTACCCACCATTATAGGCTCAAACGAAAAAGGTTCAATTTGAGTAAGAGTTTTTGCTAGCTTACATGGAGGTTATCACCTCATAAGAGTGTAAGTACTTGCTCCATCCTAATAAAGGATAAAGCTTAGGTATAAAACTTATGCATGAATGCAAGTGTGGTATGTGTAAAGGGACATGCCGAATAATCAAATATATTAATGCACATAAAAAATTAAAATCTGCAAAACAAGAAAACAAAAACAAATAGGATAGTAATATGAAAATCACAAATAATTACATAATAAAACCATAAAAGCAAGGCTTAAGATAGCACATAACTAACTAATGGCTTGACTTTCTAATGTCCCCAGTGGAAACACCAAACTGTCATAATGTCTAGGTTTGGAGAACCTACCCATTAGACACAAAAATCATAGAGTCACCACCAATTTTTTTTACCTAGGTGTGATTGGCCACTTATATAAATCTATCATTTTTAAGGTTATCCTAAGTGTAAACTAAAGATCCTTAAAAAGAATAAGTTCTGATCTACATCATCATAACTAAGGTTTCAAAGTTGATTACATGCAGGAAAGGTATTAGCATCTTTTTATGCCCAAAATTGGTACCACATTAATTAGGTGTTATCTTATCTAAGCCTTGTCAAATATGAAGATGGTCTTTATCATGCATATCAAAATCATAATATGATGATACAAAATATTATATCAAAATGTCAAGCAATCATGCAATAAATATTAAAAATCATACCATAAGTCATGTAATAATATCATGCCGTAAAAATCATTCATGCAAATATATATATAATCATGCAATAACATAAAATGCAATGCAATAACACTATGCAAATATATAATCATAAAATCAAATATAATTTCACAAATATAATATGTAGTTAAATATAATCATGCAATTATGCACACAATAAATATAGAAACATGCAAATATATTCGTAATTATGCAATTAAATATAAAATACCATGTAAATAATAATAAATCACACAAATAATATATTAATAATCATGCAAATAAACATAAAATACCATGCAAATAATAAAAAACCCCACAAACAAACATGCAATTAAATATATTAAAATCATGCAAACATGTAATTAAATATATTATCATGCAAATAATAGTATATAAAATAATCATGCAAGTAAATATATTAATATTCATACAAACATACAATTAAATATATATTATCATGCAATTAAACATGAAATTAAATATATAATCATGCAACTAATACATAAAATTAAATATATAATCATATAGTTAAACATGAAATTAAACATACAATTAAATATGTAATCATGCAAATCATGCAATTAAAGTCTTTATTATTTTTAATTTTTTATTCAAGCATACAATAGAATAACATAAAATTAAGATATGAAAAAGAAATGAAAACAGGAAAAATGGAAATAAAATAAAATCTAAACTGAAAAATAAAGGAAAAAAGACAAGCAAAACCGTGTGATTCGGGATCGGATCTTATTGGGTCGAGGCACAAGTTATGCACGGATCTTGGTTTGGCCAAAATTACGTCATTTTACCTCTTATAAAAGCCAAAAATTTACTTTTATCTTCAGTTCAGTTGAGTTCCTTCTCTCTCTAAACCAATTTCCTTCATCTTCTCTCTATAATTCTCCAGAAAACCCTTTGTTTGATCAAAGATTTATAGAATCCCTCACCAAAAAATTTAATCGGTTATCGAAAAATTTAACCAAACCCACAAACTTCAAGAAAACAGAATCTGACTACCATGTATTCCCTCTAGTCATCATATACCTACCCAAAAAAATCAAAATTAGCTGAAAATTTCAAAAAGAAACCCAAACAATTTCCAAAAAATCCCAGATCTTTAAACCGATTTAAAAAATTTGAAGCTTCAAAAAATCAAACCGAATTCCAAAAGAAATCAAACTAGAGTTCAAAAACAATTCAAGATGTAGGAATTTAATTTGCAAATCCCAGAAATCAAAGATCTCGAATGTCTTCAACCAATTTAACCTAAAAGCCAGAAATCGAGAATCAAACCCTAAAAAATATTAAATTCCTAGAACCGATCTCAATAACGCCCTTAACTCTAAAAACTTCACCTAGAAAATTTGATGTGTTGATTCTTTTGTTTCTATGATCCTTCCTAATTACTTCCCCCTCTCTTATTTGTAGATTGGGGGGGTTTATAGGGATTTAATCCCTTTTGGTTTAGAAACTAGGAAATCCTACTAAATCTGGGAAAATTTCCTATATTCAATTTTTGTAATCTTTCCTTTTTCATTGAAAATCAAAATCCAAAACAAATCACATGTTTTCTTTTTTTGTCCCTTTTTTTCTTTTTTACTTCATTGACCTTGACTTTTGACCAAACAAAAATTACAATTAAAATCAAAATTACTAAAACAAAATTCCAAAAATAAAAATAAAATAAAATAAAAATCTAAGATCAAAATTAAAATCAATACATTTTCAAGCTTTTAATATTTTGGGCCTAAAATTTCATTTTAAGGCCTAATTCACGAATGCAGCCCATTTTATTTCTAAAAGATTTTTTGGACAAAATGGGTTGTCTACATTTTTCTTGTGACAGCAATATATTGTTTAACAAGATATATGACAAGAATTTCAATGAAATATTTATGTATGTTAGGAAATAAAAATAAGAAATTGGATATCAAAATAATGAAAAATAAACAAATATTATAAGGCAAATACAAAACTTTTAAAAGTCTCGAAGAGAATACAATCCACCTAACAATGACATGAAGTTCTTGGACCAAACTATTCAGCTTCATCCACAAAACCAACTTGATCACCTTGTTTCGATGTTTCCCACCACTATGGATTTGAAAGTTTGCTTCTAGCCTTTCTTTATACATCTTAAGTTTTTTTTCCAAATGAAGATCCAAAGAGCCAATGTCATCAACAAAGCCATTCATTGGTGTGTCTGCAATTGCTGGTTCTATTTTGGACTTTCAGAAAGCAAAAGAAACATTTTTACTGGCACTAAAGTCCAACCAATTTATCACCATGGATTTTCTAATGGAAATTTTTTTTTTTTTACGGGATTTTATCTAAATCACAATGAGAAAATGAAACACAAATAAAAGGTCATTAGTATGAACAGTGTCTTAAACCTTAACATGACTACTAAAATAGAATAATATGCCCATCAGCAGGAAAAAATTTACACAGAACAAATAAGAAGCATTCTACTGACCTTAAAAGCATGGTGTAAAGTATTATGTTCCTTTACTTCTACTGTTAATGATACTTGACCCTCGCCATTACCATCCGAAACTGATAATACATTAAAAACAATTATATATAAAGTTTGGTATCAAAAGGATCTCCCAATAAAACCAAGAATCCAAGTTTTAGTACAGCCCACACCTGTAAATAATCATTCAACAAGAGTCAATCAAATAAGCTAAAATGTGAAAATACCTAAAATGATAACAAATGAGTAATTTTATGGTCCAAACAGAGAGTTATTGTCCAAATGGCAAGATTAAGGTACAAAAAATTTGAACATTTGTTTGCAAGGTAAGATACAATGATGCCAATTTTCTCAAGCAAAAGAATCAATATACGACAACAAATACTCCATCTTCAAAACCCTTTTCTCAAATCCTATTATCTTGTTTTAATTAAACATATGTCACCCATTAAGCAGCAGTATGAGATTCTTATATATTCTACATCACTAAGCATAATTGACCAAATCACTAAGCATAATTGACCAAGTGATATCTCTTGCTGAGGCACAAAAGATGCACAGTGACATGCCAATTTCTAAACCTGATGATTCGTGTATTCGCATTATGTAAAATACTAAAATTCGTATATTCGTATCGTGTTTTACATGAAAATTACGTATCATAATTCTTATTGACACAAAAATATATATTATATATTTTTATTTTGTTAAACCTAGATATAGTTATTACTAAAATTTTAAGCTGTGTCACCTTCATATCCTATAATCATATCGTATTTGTGCCGTGTTACTGTATCATGTTTTAGATTATCAGGTCTATTAATTTTCCTCCTACCCAAGAATATTTACACAAAGAAGAAAAGCTATGCAGTTAAAACCAAACATATATATTTTCATTGAAGAAAATAAATAGACCAAATCCAACAACTAAAGGCATTGATAAAAAAATCAACCTCAATTGAATGTAGAATGTAAAACCCAAAATATCATAAGAAGAAAACAATCTATCTATTTCATTCAAATAAAGACCCTTTTTATTTTTTTAAATATCAAAAGAAAGTAAATAATTATTTAAAATAGATGGCTCGAAGAAATAAGCAAGTTACATGCATTATATGCAAGTAACTCTTAATTGCAATAATTTTTGCCGGTTGTGTTTCAACCCACCCATTCTTTTCAAAATTTACCCAAATTTACCCGTAAATTTGTTTTTAAGACTTTAAGTAGTTGTCCACCAAATTCCAGCATGAAAGACTTTAAGTACAACTTTTATATATTTTATAAATGTTGATTAAATTATATTATGTAATCTCAAGCTTAAAATAAACTCATAATCTTCTTAGTAAAATGAATTAATTATTTTCATGCAGCTAAAATTTGAATACTTAGTATAAAAATAATAAAAACAACTAAATTTTTAATTTTAAAAATTTTATAAATTATAGTGGAACGGTTAATATTATATTTAATCTTTAAAATATAATATATAAACAATAAATATATTAATTAATATAATATTTAAAAATTATTTATACATTAAAATAAATATCACATTAATTAACATATTTATAATTCATATATTACCTAAAAAATTTTTGCAATTCAAATAAATCTTGAGCATTTTCTTAAAATCAAGATGCTGTTAACCTATTTCAAAATGTCTAAAGTTAGCGAGGCACTTTCGTTTTTCCATTTACTAACGGCATAAGGAAACAGAGCCCGGCAGGTTTTGCCTCTGTAGCAATCAAACTCAGTAACTCAGTTCACCGAGAGTCGAGTAGAAACGCCGGAACTCAGCGTTTAAAGGACACCATGTCAGCAGAGAAGACAGAGCTTGACGGATCCTCTTTTGCTAATCCCCTCCTTCTTCAACTCCAACAAACTCTAACTTCCTGCTCCAAGGTAAGCAGTAAAACAAGGCTCATACATTTCCCCTTTATAAATATCCAGAAAAATCCTATTCGTTTATTTTAGAATAGTTAATTTCCGGCACGTTTTTGTAGTCAATCGTCGACGGTGACCTAAGTCAATCTCAAACCTCAGTCTCAGAGCTCGTCAACTTCCTCGATTCCGTATCAGACGCCACCGTTTCGGAGCCAGAAAACGAAGTTGCAAAAGCGAATGCACTCGCAATTTTATCTGAAATTTATAATTTTTTGTGCTCGCCCTCTCTGGATCAGGTTTTATGACGTTATTATAAGGCCCTTATTAATGTATTTATCAACAATGTTTATTTATTAAGCTTAATTGTGAAATTAATGGATTATTTCACAGGAGATTATCGATGCGCTTTCATTTGAGTTGCCAAAGTCAGTTTCAAAATTTTCAGGAGTTTCGCCTGAGTGTTTGGAGATTGCTGATCGCATTATTGATCGATTCATAAAAACATGTAGTCCTCGCGACATGCTTTCGATTCTTTGCGAGGTCTGTGTTTATTTTTTTCTTAATTTTCTATCAACTGATGGTTATAATTATTTGTTAATTTTCAATTTTAATGGATTAGGCATTAGATTCCCCAAATAAGACAGTCAAAGCTGCCGCTTATGTTTCCCCTCTTATAGGTGGACTTTCAGAAGGTATTCAGCCATATTCATCTGTAAAGTTCAAAGAATGATTTTCTTTTTTGATTTATGAACTGTTGTTTCTAATATTGGATGAATGTTCTTTTCTTGTTTCAGTCTTTCTTGCCACTCGGAGGCGTCATTTTGAACAAATTAAAGTTGCAGTGCCGGTTATTGTTAAAGTTGTGAAGGCTATTTCTTCAGAATCAGATTATGAAGATACAGAACTGGAGACTTTGTTTGACAGAGTTGTCAAAATTGCTCACTGCATACGGGCAGTTTCTACGAAACTAGTATGCAATGTTTGACTTCATATTAGGCTATTTTTGAGATTGTTGATGTTTTTCTCTGTTAGGTCCTGATAATTCTTTGCTATTCCTTATAACAGGAGGATGGAGTAAATGAAAAGCTTCGAGCTCTTCTTGGTCTATACGTACTGCAAATCTCGGTTGGTGCTCTTATTTTGAACCAAAGTTCTAGGTTGGGTGTTTATTGTTTCGATAGATATTAGAGTGATTTAATTTCCAATATTCACTATGCTTTTAAATCTGCTTGTCTTTTGGGATCGGTTGACTTCCATTATTGATCTCTCGATCCCTTTTTTTCTTTTACATTTGTATGTTTGTTGTTGTTGGTTTTAAGATGCACCCATGATGCGTAGGCAATGGTTTCAGTTAGCCCCACTCATCTTCTCTTTGCATCACGATTGGCATGCTTCCTTCCATATTGTGGTGTATCCTATCTTGGTTTAATAACTGGGTCTGATATTGACACAATATCTCGCATTGTTATTGGAGGTAAAGTTCATTAGTTGCTATGTTAACTTTATCATTATTGTTTCCTAAACAATTACAAGATAAAATATGGTCTCCACCTTCTTTTGTTCTTATCATTTCTCTAACATGTGTATTTTGATGCATAATCGTGAAATGCGCAGAGGATGAAGATGATTGTATGATTTTGTCATCCCATGTCTATCTTGGTGCATCACTTTCAGGTTTGTGTTGGAGCAAATTTTCCTGATCTTATTGATGTTTTCCCTCATCTGACATCATCAGTCATGGAAAATGTTACCTGTTTCTTTGACATGCATAGATTTTCATTGTTTATTGATACAGTGATTTGGGCGCAAATGCATGATGAGGTTGCTAGGGCTGCAAAAGAGGATTTGAGTGCTGTTAAGACAGAACTTAAAAATAACCAGATGAAAAGATGGCAAGCAATTGGCATGTTAAAGCACATATTCTCATCTGTTGATCTTCCATGGAAATTTAAGAGATATGCTGTTGATTTCTTGCTTTGTATAACAAGTGGAGATATATCTAAGGATTTAGATGATGAGCATAATGATTGCTCTCTTTACATGACCAGCCTTTTTTCTGCTTTGCAGGTAGTCTCTTTTCACATTGTTTTTATACATCACGTTTTGCACTCTGTTACTCTCTATCAGTCTGATGGTCAAAATGAACATTGCAGGCTGTTACAATGATTATCATATATACATCAGATACAGTGCTAAGGAAAAATGCCTTTGAAGTACTCAAAAGGGTGAGGATTTTATGTACTATAGTTCCTCAATCAAGTGACCATATTGTTGAAATGTATTATTTTACCAAGTTCCTAACTTCAGTATCCACAATTGCTTACTGATTTGTTACAAATATCAGGTTCTGGCTGATATTCCAGATTCTCAGAGATTTGACATTTTAAAAGCTCTAATAACAAATAGTGACTCTTCCTCTATGGTAAAATCCAGTGTACATGCTCTATCATTTGATGTATTATAGTTGAGGATATATTAACTAAATTAGTTCCTCCAACTATGTGTAGGCTGCAATTCTTCTAGATCTTGTTAGAGGGGAAATGCACAGAGAAAGTACCCTGAGAACATTAATAGGGGAAAATGAAGTCCTAAAGGCTGACAATAAAGCCTGTCAAAATACATTATTTTGGAGTACAAGCATCCTTGAGTTAATCGAGTCAGTTTTGAGGCCTGTGAAGGGAGGACCTCCAATCCTTCCAGAGAATGGCGATGTGGTATTTCTTTGCATCTTTTGCCTGTTGATGTTTAAATTATTGAATTTATATTCGCTTAGGGCACTTAAATGGTTATTGTATTGTTGTCTTGCTTGGATTGTGCTGTTTATTTTCTACTGTTTCTCATTTTACGGTTTTATTGAATGGCTCCTGTGTCAATACCTTGCTTGGCATCTTCTGTATTTAACAGATTCATTATCATGTAGGTTCTATCTGCCCTTAACCTGTACAGATTTGTATTGATGACAGAATCATCAGGTAAAACTTAATTTACTGGTTTATTGAAGATGAGAACTTATCTTGCAGTGCGTTTCTTTGTTGTCTGCCTGTTAACATAGTACCTCCGTGCTAATGTGTTTTACTAAGTTTAGCCTTTATATTTATGCATATGGGTTGAGGCCCTGGAGTTTGATTTTATAATAGTTATGACACATTCACTAAGTGCAGCTTTCACCATCCGTCAGCAAACTACATAAACAATGCTATATGATGTTTTAAGCAATGAAATCCGATCATGAGTACAATAAATGCCTTTTCTCATAGATCTCAGTCCCAAGACTCAGATCCTGGTCTGTAGGCCATCTTAGATTTGTCTACTCTATTATTTGATATTTACTGTCTAAGTCAGTGGAGTTCGCAATGGTGCCTCATCACCGTAATGTTCTTTGTTTTTGACTTGGTGGCAAATGGAACAGGAAAAACCAACTACACTAGAGTGCTGTCCAAGAATAATTTGCAGAAGGCCTACAATGAATGGCTCCTACCTCTTCGAATGCTTGTGACAGGCATTGTAGCAGAGAATAAGAGCAATAATGATAAACCTGCAGTTGACACTATATGTGCTCTGAACCCAGTTGAGCTGGTTTTGTACCGGTGTATCGAGCTTGTTGAAGAAAAATTGAAACATTCAACATGATATCGGTCCAGCATACTTGATGGTTGTTGCCAAGCTATTTATTGGGGAATTCCCCACAACAACAACAACAACTAAGCCCTTTCCCCACTGTGCGGGGTTGGCATTGGGGAACTCCCTCTTGCTTGGAGTTTTAAAGGTTAGGTAGAAGTAGCCAAGGGCAAAAATTTTCGCTTGGGGTTTGTTCCTGTGGGTTAAGTTTTTGTGCTTTCGATCAGTGCTGATGCAAATTGGATACAAATGGTTCATAGAAAGATTCCTCATCAATCAGTACGACTGTATCAGACCAGTAACATACCTTTGTCTCTCAGTAGTTACCGGGGGTGATAAGGATGGTCCATCACTTTTGTCATGAAATGTTGAGTTTGTTAGTACTGATTAATCAATCAAATCTGTCCTTATGCTTGTTTTGTTTTTCCTCTAAATCAAGATATCTATTATTTCCAGCTTCCCCTTGCCTTGATGAATATATTAACAGTGCAGGATAAATTTCAATTATATTGCTTTTGCACATTAAGTGCTACAACCTATTTCAAATTCGTGGTGAGATGGTATTCTAACTTGGAATTAGCTAGTTGAGTTGTGGGGAGGTTGCACATGATTAGAGATGGCAAAATGACAGTTAGGTTGGGTCATTTTGCACAGAGTTAATTTGAATTTAAATCTATTTGACTTTGAATTATTTTGGATTCACATAAATTCTAATTTAGATTATTTTAAATTCGAAGCAGTTGGGTTAAGTTTATATTTTGTAATTCATGATGGGAGGAAAAGATTAAGAGAAAGAGATATATTGAATTAATTTTTTTTATTTAAAAAAAAAAACAAATTTAAAATTTGTTCTTTAAATAAAAAAAATTATGACTGAGCAAATGATTGATGCTTCATTTGAATTAATCAAATATCATATTATTTTAATCAACGTAAGTAGATTAAATGTTATGATAGTATTTTCAATGAAAAAATTAAATGAAATTAATGATTAAATTTTAATTATTAAATTAAAATAAAATAAAAATTAAATTCAAATGAATTATAATTAAAAAAAAAACTAAAATTTAAAAATTGATAGAGCAAAACACTTACCACACAATTTGATTTTTTTTTTTTTTTTTATCGGGGGGAGTTAAATGAAGGAAATTGTAGGGAGGCACTGATGGACTTAGGTTTGCAGGGATCAAGCAGCCTAATCGTAGATTCGTAGTCTAAGCTTGCAGCAGTCTGGTATAGTAGGGACATGGAATTGTAAGGACCCACAAAGACACCTTCTGGAATTTGGAATTATTCTCTTTTCTAGATTGAAAAACATGCGTAAGACAAACTAAGGTGATATAATCCAAAAAATACTTTGAATATCCACATTATATAATAAGAAAAAGTATTAAATTTGGAGGTTTCATATTTATTTTTTTACAATTTTATAATTTTACTATATTTTTTTTCTAATTTTAATCCCGTATATATTCATCTAAATTAAAAAGACTTATTAAAATTTTTAATTATTTCTTTAATTTTTATTATATAAAAAATAAAAATATTTTATATCAAATTTCAATAAGGATAATACAAATAATTATTAAATTAGAAAAATCCAAAAAATACGCGAATTATATGATAATAATATATTTAATGGTTTTTTTTTCTTTATTTGTTTCAAGTATTTTCAAAGTTTTTAGTAAAAAAAATACTCTATAGAAGATCTTGAAAAATCAAATTGAATCTGCAATTGAGTCATGCCTACAGCCTTTTTATTCGTTTTATCTAAACAATCTAAAAAAAAATTTTTGCCAAATTGGTAAATAAATGCTTAGCAACGTTGAACAATAATAGACAAATTGAGAATTGGAAAAGCTGTCACATATCAACAAAATACCGAAAATTAAACCTAAAGCACAAGTATAAAGGTTAAAAATAAAATAAAAAAATCATGTACCAGAAATGGAAACAATAATGCTGGCAAGGCCAATGCTAAGACAGAACTAGAGTAAACAAAAAAGTGGAACAACAACTAGGGCAAGAAAATTAAAACCAAGAGGACCAAATCTAGTGAAACTCTTAATGGAATATTTTATAATTTAAATAAAATATTTTTATTTTCATCAATAAAGTGATTAAAATTGCATAAAAAATGAAATAAGGTGGTAAATTTGTAAAAAACAAAAAAGTAAAGTGATAAATATGAAACCCCAAATCTAATACATTGTTAAATTTGACCTTTTTTTTCCATTATAATACATACCAAGTGCTTTTTTTTCTAATTAGCATGCAATTTAATATCTAAATTTCATTGGCCTCAATATAAGTGATAGATTCATAATTGTTTTTTAAAAAAATTCACTTTTAATATATAAAAAATTATAACAAAAAATTTAAAACAATGTATTGCTATATCATTACAATTGTCTATGACGAATTTTCATATTTTGAAAAAATAATTGCATTATTATTAATGTTATCAAAATATATTATTCTTAATATATGTAATTAAACAATCATATGATCTTAATATATATAATAAATTATCATTCAACCAAAAATTACAATGAATTTACCAATTTTGTTGACAAAAAAATGTCAAAAATATGTTGAGTTTATTCAAAAGATGTTTTTTTATTCTATTTGTTTATTTATTTATTTATTTTAGTTACATATACGATCGGCCTCTACCAAAGATCGTCTCTGCTCTGCACCTTTTACTTTCTATTGAAGGCCGTCCATTGCCGTAATGTCCCAAGTTTAGGAAGGGAAAAAAAAAAAAAAAAAAGGGTGCCCCAAAAGAAATCTTTGGTTGTGTTTATTACGAAACTCCTTTGTTTGTCAAACTCAAATTTTGGTTGACTTACTTCGAAATTTAGCTTAAATTTAACTCAATTTGATTCAAAGTTCAAAATTAAATTTAAATTTAATTGAATTTTATTCGTAATTTAATTGAATCATTCAAGTTTCGTTTGTTAAATTCAATTTGTTTCGTAAAACATGGCTTTTAAAATATAATTTTCATATTTTTATATATTTATTTAATAAAAAAATTGACTAATAAACTGAAAATAATTTTTTAGTCAATCAAAAATGAGATCTTTTTTTTTTAAATTATCTTAAGATTTAAAAAAAAAAGATATTTTTTTTATAAAAAAGCTATGAATAGATTATTTATTAATGCTTTTGAATGTAATTTTACTTATAAATAATATACTATTAATATAATATATTAATAAATGATATTAAAAAATAATATTATAATATATTCATAAATAATATTATATTAATAAATATTATTAATTTAATTAATAAATATTGTAATAATATATTAATAAATAATATTATTACTAAATAATATAAAGAATAATAAATAATTTTATTTTAAATATTTTTATATTAACATAATATTTTAATATTAAATATTATTATTTAAATATAATTATTTTTTAATATTAATAATTTTAACAATAAATAATTTCAATATATTCTAATAATAAATAATTTTTAATATTGTAATTGTTATATTAATATTATTTAAAAAAAAATTTCATGAAACAACCAAACAGTAAAAAATATTTTTCATTAACTTATTTAAATAATAAAAAATCTCTTTTAATTTAAAAAATGTAAATATTTTTTAAAAATTATTTTTTAAGAGTCATTTTTTTATAAAACAATCAGAGCCTAAATTTTGTAAAATTTAAAAAAAAATTGAAATTAAACACTTTATTTTTATTATTTATTTATATATATTAAAAAAATACCTGACAACTTTTTTTTTAAACTATTCATACCGTCAAGTCAGAGATATGAAATATGAACTTTTGTTTATTATTGTTATATTTATATCTATTAAAAAATAAAAAAATTTTAACTTTTCATACTGTCCAGTCAAAAATATGAAATACAAGATTTTATTAAATTACTCGAATTCGACTAAACTCATTTCTCAAATAACTTAAGTTCCAACTCAAATCAATGATTCATGAGTTAAGCTTGAAGTTTTTTCTAAATCAAACCGGAATAACTCGTTAGCCCCTTCCCCCTTTATCACTAGGATCGGGAATCAAGATATTAAGCTAATGGAAACAATACATTTTGAACATTCAACTACGAACTCTTTTACCTAGTCAAAGGAAATATGCCGGACAGGTGCTAGAAAACACAAACTCGAACGGTATAAATTCATCGAGGTAAGAGTCTGTGAAAGTACTAGCATTTTGATACGAAGGTAGAACTTCTTGATACATGGTCGAATTGGTGCAAAATTGGTCCATTTAAGAAATTTCATTACCCCTTTTTTTTTTGGGAAGAAATTTCATTACTAGTAAAGAAAATTATAAAGAAATAGTAGCATCAAAGATTTTGGAAAGTCCTTTCTCAAATTCCTTCCCCTAGTTAAACAGAATAATTGAAAGGGGGGGGAGGGACCGGAAACAGAGTTTGTAACAACAGAAAAATGAAATTAGTTTCAAGAAGCCTACATAAGGAGGCCATCAGGTTATACCTACAAAGAATGGCAATTATTTCCACATAAATTCCGAAACAAGAAGTAGTGAGGGTTTACCCCAACGAATTTCGGAAGAACGCAATTACCTGCACAATGAAAAGAATCATCTCTACCATCTACAGGCACTACCCTCAAATCTTCTCTGTATAGCGTGAGCTTCTTCTGCCCTTCAAGGGTTGGCAACTTATCTGTTGCTTGGCCTGAGTTTCAGTGAAGTTACATTAGCACACAGCTCCTTGGCCAGTGTCACTCTTTTCCAGCATGTCCCCTCCACTTTCCTACACCCTTTGGCTGCGAGAAGGAAGGTAGTCAACTCATCTTTTCAGCTAGTTCCATATAAAGTCTCAGTGCCTGAATCATCTTCCGCAGGCATCATATTTAGATCAGGCAGTAAGAAAAAAGTCTCCCCTCTAGATATAGCTTTGTCTAGACTGCAAGAATCTAACGGCGGTTTACTATCATCCAGGGCATGTGATGGCAAGATCGAGGGAATGTAGTCAAGAGAAGAGGATACTCTCTGACAGGGTTGGCAAGAAGGTACTTTCTCGGGTTCAACAGCAATTAGACTCAAGTTCTTTGCAGTGTGCAAGTTCAAATCAAGCTGCAATACAAGTTTACATCAAAAAGAGGGCAATAGAAGAATATTTCTAAACAATAAATATAGGTTTCTATGAATTATAGTATTATTTTTGGCCAATTACAGGATTAAAATTAGTAAGATATTGATTAATGAATTGCCAGATAAGTATACTGAAGTTATTACAGAAACTGTTTGGCTAACCTTCATTCTTTTCAAGTTCTCATTCCCGGCTCTCTGTTCTTTACAAGTAGCGAGCATCGATGCTATCTCCTGTTCAATAAATAGAAGATGACTGTAAGATCAACTGATTCAAGTCAGGAGCTCAGGATGAGTTCAATAAAGCACCATGATCAAGAACCCTCAACGAACCTTTTTTAAATAAACCCTTTCCTTTAAAAGCAGATTTTCCTCCCCCTTAAGTTCAGCAAATGTCTGAAAAATGACAACAAATTCAAAGTCCGTTGAAAAAGTACAGAATATAGTAAATCCTGGAATCAATCCCAACAACCAATGAGGCATGAATCATCATCAGGAAAATCATGCAGCATAAAGTTCGATTAGTCACCTTCTTTCTTCTTGACCTCTTGGTAGTTGTGATAGCGGTTTCATTAGCAGCAATACCCTGCAACATCCATCAACGAACCAATCATAAATCAATAAATTTAAGCCCAAGGCAAGAACCAACAAAATATTTTTGAAGATTAAAAAAAAATGCAATTAGATATTTGGGAATGAGATGAGGAAAAAATAGAGTAAAATTCCAAAGGGGATAAACGCTCAACTAAAGTTTAAAAAGTTGGGGTCCCATCCGAAACCTCAAACATGCATGCATAGACGTTATCCAAATTGCCATGAACTTAACAGACGCTGTGACTCACACGTCACATTTACAGCTTCCCATTAGGCATATTGGCCATCCCATCCTTTCTTCCTTACATTATTAAAAAAAGGACCAAAAAAATTCAGATATCTCGAAGTCACGACGAGAAACATGCAGCCGTTGAAAGAGCTTCTTGGTGGACAGCTGGCAAACTCAGGGTGTTGAAGAGGCTTACAAATTTTTTTTTTTTTTAGTATTGACAAAGCCGCTCCTTCTTAGGTCTTACCCAAGTGAACCAGTACTAACACGCCACGTCACATTAGCAGGCATGTTAGCACAAGAAGAACTTTAAGCCGTTCTCTATTCTATTCCTACCTCTACCTCAGGTGACTTTCATCACTTGACGCTTTCTGTCATGGCCGTCAGATATTGGGTCACTAGCTGTATAACCTAGACATCCCAACACCTAATAGAAATCTCACTTCCCACTTTCATTTTCTTTTTTCCAAATCACACGGTCCATGATCCATCCGATACCCATCATAAATGTTTAAGCAACCGTGGGATCCAGACGCTAAAGATATCCCAATCTCGGAAAAAGTTAAGGCTAGGGCCACAAAAGAGTAGATAAACACGAGGAAACCGATACAAATACAAGTACAGTTACAGATAGTGATGGGGAGGGAAGACCACCCATATTTCCGTGCATCCGCGTCACACCTGATAATCTCTCTCTCTTCAGTTTTCGGAACCTAATCGGAAAGGGCATATGATTATATGATATAGCCATCCGCCACTACCAACAACATCACACCAAACCCAAAACGCAGAACTACAGCCTTCTTTCAATGGACCCCACCTGTCACTTACGTTAGATTATGACTAAAATGCCCCCCAAGTGTTTTTAAAGAGAAAAAATAAAACAAAACAAAAGAGGGATCCTCTACGGCGAAGTTTCCTGGCTCTTACGATGCAAGGATGGCGTACTGAATATTTTTTTCTCCTGATGAAATTGTCCTTTACTGAAAAGGTCTTGGGAAACAGAATCTAAGGGGATGTGGTAAGGAATGTTGATTTGGCAAATCTATAAAAGGCCAACAAAAGAATAACAGGTGAACGGTAAAGAGGCGAGAACAAAAGGTGAAGCACTTCCGATCTGCTTATAGTGCTGACCTCACGTGAAAATGTAAAATCCTTTAAAAACATTAGGGCATTTTAGTCCAAATAAAGAGAAATATGACACTGGCTGTTTGATGTTGTTTATTATTATCCTATTAAACCGATGGTCGGAGAGATCAAACCCAAAACCTTTCAGTTTGAAGACGATGAAACGTAAAAACGGCCAGATTTGAGCTCAGTGAGTTCTTGAAAGCGCAGTTCCGTCAGCTGGAAAAGGAGAAATCCATGCAATTCAGAAAACCCAAAGCATCGTTTTACATGACAAGAGAAACGATACGAACCAGTAGATAAGGAGATTAAAAAGGGTGTTAAATGGTCATTTCACCTGAAAACAGGAATGAGAAAAACAAAAACTCATCGAGTTAGCGAAGAATGTGTTGTCGACGGGACACA